TTTGGTTTATTATTTTCAATAATCAACCTTTGTAATCGACAAAGGAAAAAAAAAAAGTTGGCTCCCTCAAAATTTGAGGTTTTACGTTTCAAGATACGCAGCATTCGAAAATCAAATAAAAATAATCCGTCCGTCTTCCGTCAAAGGCTTTTCTCCGAGACTACTAGACTGATTGTTTTGAGATTCGGTATCAATTTCAAAGGACATCCTCGGAACTCGCTATTATTCTTTATATTATGTTCTTATTATCCGCCCTTTTCTTTCAAGATGGTGGCCTAAAAACCTGGACTGCATAGACTGTTGCGCCTAAACGATTGTACCGATTTCGATGGAACTTGGCTCATTGAAAGCTCTTTAAATTTTCTTATATTAGATACAAAACCGAAAACTTGCTGGAAAAAAAGTTACGAGGGGTGGTAAAATTAACTTTCAGAATAATTAAAAACGTTGGTTATTCGAACGTTTGCGAGATTTAAAAAAAAAAGAATTGTTGAAATTTGACGATTTGGGGCAAAGATGTGGTGTTCCAAATATTTTCCACAGGTTTTGCTGCAGAGTTTACCTCCTTTATTTTTATTTTTGAAAAGTTTTACATCAACTGAAGAAATCGAGATTGTTGTCTGTATTAATTAGGAAATTACTGATAATAACAACAAAATTATTTATGCCCTATATTAGTTATCGCCTTTTATTTATCTTCCCATATGTGACAAGTAAAGTAGTGTTACATTTGATATATAACTTTTTTGAATAATAAACCATTGTGTAAATAATTCCAGTATAAAAATTAATAGTACCGTATTTTTCTTTCCCGATGGATTTTTCAAAGCTTCTGTTTCTTTTTCGAATTAATTGCACTAATAATTATATTTTATTATATAATTTTGTAAAAGCATGTAAGATGAAATTTACTAATATGTGTTTTTATTTTTTTTTTCAGGTAAGTTTTTGTTGGGAACATTTGAGTGATGGATTAAAAGAACAAAGCATGTATCTTATGTATGTATTTTTAAAAGTTCTTCTAGCATTATTAGGAAGATTTCTAACAACATAATTCTATATATTTATTCGAAATGTATATTCCATCCATTTATTCAATTAATAATTTACTAATCATGACATTATCATTGATTTTCAAATTAGGAAGTAATTAGACACGAAAAAAAAATCGAGGCCAGATTTACAAACATAGAATTACCTCAGTTCATTGTATGTAAAGATTTTCGCATTAAGTTTATTGCCGATGGGAGTTTCTCATGAATTATTAATTAGCAGATCATAAATCATTTGCTTTTGTTCCGTATAGAATTATTATGTGAATTACCAACTCGTTCATTCATCCATAAATGTCATTCTATTTATTTATCCATATGATTTAAAATAATGTATTTTATTTTCCAATCGTAATATTTTTTTAATAAAAAATAATTTTTTTTGGAAAATATTTCCGAAAATCACTGATTATTCCATTTGTACTTAAACAACGTTGGAATTTGAACAGAAACTTCAAGACCCTTTTTTTTTTTTTAAGAAGAAAAAATGTTGATTGGAGTTTGTTTCGAGATTGTTATAATTTAAGATAGTTATAATTATAGTTACTTTTTCTTCACATTAATGATACAATTCAATTCATTTTTAATTAAATTTCATTTTAATAAATAATAATAATAATAATAATAATAATAAGGCTTAGCGAACTCGAAGGTTCGATGCCGACACCACCAATCGCTTGTTACACACCTCCTTCCACCGTTCGCCGTCCAAACCCAGTCCCTTCAGATCAGCTTTAATGCAATCTTCCCACCTTCGCTTCGGTCTACCCCTCCGACGCTTACCATTTCATTTTAATAAAACTGTTAAAAAAGCTTTTGATCAGTTTTTTTTAAGAATCATTATTTTCATTTCATTCCGTTAAAAAAAAATCCAGTTTCTTAAATAAACTTATTTTTTGACCAAATTTTTTTAATATTTAGGTTCGTTTTTTGAATTTCCATAAAAATCAATTTGGGTTTTTTTCCATAAAAGTTCACTTTGGAAATAAGCGACTCAAATAATAAACCATGTATACAAAATACAATAAGCTGTATCTTCGGTAATAATGGTTTGATCTCGATTTTTTCCCCTTTTGTATGTAAATTAAAAACTTTTCGAAGTCTGGTATATAGAAATAGAAATAGAAATAGAAAAATCATCTTTATTCTGGGACTAGGTCCCTTTAGAATAACAGTATTGTACATATATGTTAACTACAAATCTGGTCAAAAGACTTATTACAATGAATAATGACAAAATACATGTAATACATTAAGTATTAATTAACGAGGACAGTTTGGTAATAGGGATTCAGTACTACAATATTGGAGCTAAAATAATTGCATAATAATCACTGAATGAAATTATAAAGGAAAGTACAATCTATTTTATAGGTAAATCATTGTAGTGATGGAATATAAAAATTTAAAAAAATAATAATAACTGTTAATATGTAGGGAAAGAAATTGTAAAAACTAAAACAAAAAAATATATAAAAAAACAAATAATGATATACATATGTTCCCTAAGATATTTAAGTGATTATGCGTAAAGATTAGGAGAAGAGAAAATAAAATAAAGTATATATATACACATAGCGAGAAGTATGTTGAAGATAATTAGAAATAAAATACATTTCACTGAAATACATTCCATGAATAACAAATTAGAACTTAAGGAAAACAAATTTTATCTACTCACAATGCTTAGTGAGTGGTGATGAAAATTCACGTTCAACACAGAATAAAACAATAAAAAATAAGAGAAAAAAATAATGTCTAAAGAAAATTAAATCCTTATATCATAGTATGTATTTAACCAGCATCTGATTGGATTGTGAAGAGGAATTGGAATAAGAGGGTTTTAAAGGTGGCTAAGGATGATGCATGGCGGATTTTTAGTGGGATGGAATTCCAGAATGCGGTGGAACGGACAACGAAGGAATGTTTAAATGATGCAGATCTGTGGAAAGGAGTGTAAAGGTCAGAAGGACGAGATCTTGTGGAGAGGGTGTGGATAGATGATTTGAATTGTAGGAGATTGTATGCGTAGGACGGACGATGACTATTGATTATTTGGTAAAGGAATGTGCCTAGGAAATATTTTCTTCGGAAGGAAGGGAAGAGCCATCCTAATTCAGCATAGTGGTGCGAAACACGGAAATACCTCAGGGCCCCTGTGACAAATCTTACGAAGGCATTCATAATTCTTTTCAGTCTCTCCCCGAGTTCTGCCGAGAGGCCACCGTACACCACGCAGCCGTAATCAAGGTGGGGGAAGATGAGGGAAATTATTTACTTGAATATAAGTTTATAATTTTTTTATTAATTTTTTGAGTTGTGTGCAAATAAAATTTACTTTTCTTTTATAAGTTATTACCATGACTTTTCTGGTGGAAGTGTCGATTTTTCCTTTTGCTGGAGAAGATAATGTCCAAAATGACGGCTGAATTTATCGATGAAGTAACGAGACATGTTGTACCGAAAAAAAAAATTGAGAAATAATATTAAAATATAATTACTATCCTATATATGTTAATAAAATCAATGCTCGACTCGAGAAAAAACTTTATTGATGGTTGAGTTAAAAAGACTAAGTTCAAGTCGGTGTGTCGGTGTTTTACCATCAATTTTGTTGTGAACTATGTATCTCCACCTAATGTTTTAATTTATTGCCATTGCATTTAGGTCTAAAGCCACTTCCCTTCCCCCCCAAAAAAAATATATTTTTTTTTTCATTGATCCATATTCGTTTCTCTTAATGATCTGACTTTAATACGTAAATAGTAACGAGTTTTCTTTTTAAACAATAATCCATACACGGTTACTAAATGGGAGAACTTATTGAGAAAAATATTCCTACAAGCATTCTTCCTGCAACAACAGTTTTTACTTTTCTATCTCTAATAGATGAGAAAAATATTGCAATCGGGTCAAATTTCAGGTGTGCTATTTTCTACAGATCTTTACGTTTCAGGGCTCAGAGCTCCTCTCTTCCCAAGTCTGAAAAACTAATTTTCAGCCTTTAAACTGTCAGTCTGTGCCAAGATCTTATAAACGAGTAGGCCTATTTTGGATTTCGTTGATATTTTTTTTTGCCACTCATAACGCGAAAGCGGCTGCACAGTAAGAGAAAAGCATGTTTTTTCATACATTGTATCGCACAAACGGCTCTATTGATTTTGATGAAACTTTTCTATAATGTTCTACCTAAAATCCTTTCCATTTTTGTTCATATAGTAAATTTCGGAGAAAATTGAGGAACAAATATTTTGGGGCCTAACGAGCAAAGTATACATTTATGGTAAAATTATATAGTATCTTTTAAAAAGTAATTGTATTTCCTACAAAAAAAAATAATAAAAAAATAAATCATTAGAATTGAACCAGTATTAACTATGATACAACATATTCTATTTTATACTAGTGTTTTATTTTTTATTATTTACTTTCCTACCGCTAATATTGTAGCGAAGTATTGCTACTGGGTTAAATTTTCGAAATATTTTAAACGGATCTTTACGTTTAAGAATCTCCTAAACGCAAAACAGCATTTTCAGCCATCGGATTGTCTGTCTCTGTCAAGATTATCTCGGGAAGATTGGACCGATTTTATTTGCTTATTTTTTTGTTTTGTAGTGTTTTAACTACCGATGCCTGTGAAACAAATTAAATCAAATGTTAAAAACTTGTATAAAAATAACTTTAAAACTTGTTGCTCTTTAGTTGATGAAAAATATAATAATGTGTATGGAATAATGAGAATAGCAGTAGGCGTGAGGATTGAAGTAATAAAAAGTAATTAATTGTTACAATAAGTATATTGAATATCACTTCTAATTTTACTGGAATGGGTTCTGAGAGCCATTAAGAGAAGAAAATTAAAAAATAATTCTGAGACGGATTAAAAAAGCTTCAATTCCAGAAGATGCAGAATTAAAGCGAAGGACATTAATTTTTGATGGTTAAATGACAGAAGGTGGAATAAGACGAGAGCTATTCATTACAACCCTGGTCGGCGGCAAACAGGTTTCTCCGGAAGTTCCGCCTCTTTCAATCATTCACTGTTCTGTTGACTACAACCGCGACACACTCCAGTTCATTCAACAACATCTGCTGCCATCCAGGCGTCTGGTCCAAGGGTATCATATGGAATTAGAGCCATTTCTTCAAATCCGTATCTAAAAAAATAAAAACAATCATGACGTATAAAAAAAAAATCTGTATGTAGGATTATACAATAAACTAAGCCAAATATGTAAGGATGAAAAATCGTCAGAATATGAAGTAAGAAAATTATATTTTTTGCGTTTGCCAATGTTTCTATCCAAATATGTGGGTCATCCATCATCAGAACTTGAAATCATGGTTTGAAAGCTGAACATGAAGTGAGTTCTTGTCCGGTCTTCACTATAACTCAACAGTCGACTATATATCCATTTCTAAATTAATCCAAATATGATTCGTCGAAATTACTTGTAAACAATTACTTCCTTACAAAACAGTATGGGTCTACCAGGAAAAAGTCATAATTGGGTACTAGATCACATGAGTTCCGCACGGATTACGCGTGGTTCAAAATCACTTCGGTCACACTTGTTCATAGAGTGCCGAATGCATCCGAGATAATCCGAAAGAGAACGAATGCGACCGATCTCTGAGTTTGTTACTTATAACTTTTCCGCCATTAAACTATTTTTATACTCAAAATAACAATGTACGTTTATACAGCATGAGCCGTGGAATTATATTATACATTTAGGTTACATCGCGTAACCTTAATCGAACTTCTATATATATTGCTAAAGGCTCTTTTATTTTTATTTTATTTTCAACCCTCCCCTGCCTGAAGGCAATACGGGTATTTGCAGCAGTGGGATGTTACTGTTACATAACAACCCACTGCTGCATTTGCTAAAGGCTCTATTCAACAATTGTATATGTTAATTCTATTTGTGCTAAACACTACTGGATCTAGGATTTAATTTATGAGGGGAGTGGCTTTAGCCCCAATTATATATATATATAACTTATGCGACTTTGAAATCAAACGATAAAAAAAAAAGGAGAAAAGGGGCTGTTAAATGACTCACACGGCTTCAGAAACAATACTGCTTTATTTGTGAAGTAATCCTTCTTATATACACTTTAGAGCTTTGTTTACATACCAGGAAGGTATTAAGGCTGATACTGCCCGACTCCTGTCCTTATCTCCCCCCCACCAGTTTACGAAAAGCCTTTCGAAAACTTTTAATTCTCGAGTGAAGTGAACTGTACCAGCCTCACCACCTTGTTTCCTGTACGCTCAATACAATAATAATATATAAAAAAAAAAATACAAAATATCATAATAATAGCAATACAACCAACTGAGGAGTTCTCTTGCATTGTCCTACAACAGAGACACTACTCTATGAATAAAACAAATACACTTCTTTTCGCTTAAAACTACAACGCAAAATATACAATAACGCAAAAACGGTTTTCTTAAAAAAAAACATACAATGGAATTAAAAAAAAACACAGCACTTTTTCCTATATACAACTCTTTTTACAATGAAACACAAAAGCCAAAAAAAAACTTTTCTGTGTGCAGGAAAGAGGGCACCACGGTTCATTTATTCTTTTTCTGCCCCTACAAACGGGAGTTTCAATTGCTCGATATGAACTGTGCGTCTCTTTTTAGGCTCCTTCATACTCTCTATCGTCACCAAATTATGTTCCCTGATGGCAACCACCCTGAATGGGCCCTCATATCGCGTCAATTCCTTCCCTCGATTCGTTCCCCTTCTCCGGTACACAATAGTCCCGATTTTCAAATCCCCCATTTGGTCGCGTAATCTTAGATTCTCTCTATCTACCCTCTTCGTCTTTTCCCTTTCTATTCTCCTTCGTACCGTATCCCACGTTTTCTTTAACTCCACCCTATTATTACCTATTTGTTCGGCCACGTGGTCGTCAATCGCCGTTTCCGCGCAATCCCGTCTTCGTTCCCGCATCCCAAACAGTACCTCGAAGGGTGAGAACCCAGTTACGGAATGGATTGAATGATTATACGCTATTATCGCCTTTTTCATCGCAACGTCGGGCTCCAATCCTTTTTCTCCCTGGTACACGCGTATATGGTCGCTCAAGGTACTATGTAGCCGCTCGATGCTACCTCTGCTCTTGGGGTGCCCTGGTGTATTGAAATGCCAGTTTATCTCTAAGCGTTTTGCCTCCTCCCTCATTGCGCTATTATCAAATTCTCTTCCTCCATCCGAGGAGACTCTCTCCGGTACCCCATAAAATTGCATCCATGTTTGGATGGCTTCCAAAACTGCATCGGACGACCTCTCCAATATCCGGTATGCCATAGCAAGTTTGCTAAAAGTATCGATCATGGTTACCCACTTATACCCTCTCCATGTGAAAGTGTCGATCTGGAGATCTTGCAATGGTGCGTCTCCCGTGGGTGTCTCTTCCTGTCTTCCCTGAGGCGGGTGTCTGTCGTACTTCGTGCGCATACACACCTCACATGTTCCAATTGTTTCTTGTATGGTCTTCCTCATTCCCCACCAAAAGTATTTCCTGCGCAGTGCCTGTAAGGTTTCGTTCACTCCCCTATGGTTCGTCTTCCCCTGGTGATATGCAAGAGTCACCTCCTTTTGCCGTTCCTCGTCCGTTATCGTCTCCACCATATATCTGCATCGGACAAATATTCTATCTATTCCGATTTTTTCGGACCTCCACATCCTCTTAATCTTTTCCCATATTGTGGCGTTTCCCACATAGAGATGATTTGTCTTCCCTGGCTCCGATGCATCCTTCAGCGCCCTGCAGATCTGATCCTCACGCACCCCTGGTTGCGACCAGACCGTGTGAACCTTACTTCTACCGTAGCGGCTGTAGTCGATTTTCATCATACCCGCCGTCCTAGTCTTCCAGATGACCTGGTGACGCTTATCGTTGATGATCTCATCAATTTCTTCTATCTCTGCTGGCCTCTCCTCCGCCGAGCTCTCCTCTTCGGGGGACTCCTCTTCCTGCCGTCCATCTCTCGTACCGTCCTCCCCTTCCCTTTCCGGTGTCCATTCACTCAGGAACTGTCGAACATCACGCGATGGTCCACCACTGTCTTCCTCGATTGCATTCACTACTATGGCTCTCGACAGCCAATCGGCCACCACATTCTCCCTTCCTGGCTTATACACTATTTCAATATTATATTGGCCGAGAAATTCCTTCCATCGCGCGACTCTCGCAGAGGATTCTTTTAATTTCCCAACCCATTGAAGGGGCCTGTGATCGGTGTGGACTCTGAACTTTCTTCCGAATACGTAAGGCCGAAAATGATCAATAGCCCACACTATCGCGAGCAATTCCTTCTCCAAAGCGCTATATCTCGTCTCAGCCTCGGTAAGGCGTCTACTCGCGTACGCTATGGGCTGCTCTCCACCTACTCCATCCTGCGACAGTACTGCTCCCAGCGCATACTCGCTGGCATCCGTGGTGATCGTGAACTGCTTACTGAAGTCCGGAAACGCTAATACCGGTTCTGTTTGTAAACGGTCCATACACTTCCTAATGTTCTGTTCCATTACTGGTGTCACGATCATCTTAGCCCCCTTTTTCAGCAGATTATTGATCGGGACCAGGTACTCTGCCATTTCCGGCACAAACCTCCTATAATAATTAAGCGTTCCAAGGAGCCTCCTGATTCCTTTAACATCTCGCGGAACCGCCATTCGCCTAATAGCCTCTACCTTCTCCGCGTCCGGCCTAACCCCGTCCTTCGAAATTGTGTGGCCTAAAAAATTAATCCGCTCTTGTCCTAATAGGGATTTCTCTCTGGATAATTTTAGACCAAAACAGCGCAACCTCTCGAATACGTTTCGCAGGTGTTCCACGTGATCCCCTTCCGTCTTGCTAAATACCAACAAGTCGTCCATATAGACCTGGCATACGGTTTCATCCAACCCTCTCAAGAATTCGTCCATTAAGCGCTGAAAGGTTATCGGAGCATTCTTTAGTCCAAACGGCATCCGGGTGAACTCGTAATGCCCCCTTTCGAATGTGAATGCTGTTTTATGCTGATCCTTCGGGTGCATCTTTATTTGGTGATAACCAGCTTTGAGGTCCAGAGTACTAAATATCACCGCCCCACTCAGCCTGTCCAATATGTCCTCGAATCTCGGGATCGGGTATTTTTCGTCTATCGTGTTCTCATTTAGCTTCCGATAATCTATTACCACTCGGTACTTCTCTTCTGTCTCGCCCGGCACTCCCTTTTTCCTCACCGCCCACAACGGACTGTTGTATGGAGAGGTGCTGTTGACTATTATACCCTGCTTTTTTAAATTCTCTAATTCTTCCCGAATATGCTGTCTAAGTGCTTGTGGATATCGCCTCTCCTTCACGTATGACACCCGCTCCTGCTTTAGTGGTATTTCGTGGACTGTCCTTCCCGTTACACCTAGTATCTCTCCCTCCTTGAAGAAGATATCCTCGTATTCTACTCTTATGGCCTTCCTCCAATCCTCGACTCGATTTACCGCTCCTATCCGCGCTTTCGTACCCCTTATGCTCTCCGTACTCCTGTACCTCTGTCCTCCTAACTTGATCCTCCAAGTCCCATTCCTGAACTCGACTCTAATCCCTACTTGTCCGAATAGGTCGCACCCTATTATCGCCTGGTATTCCCGAGTTATGTTTCCAACAATGTGTACTTTCAAACTCCCCTTTCTACCTGCCCAATGGTTTAACTCAACGACCGCTTCTCCTTCCACCTTACACGCCCCTCCTAGGGTAATTAATTTACACTCGCATCCCTGAATCCGGGGTGCGCTCTCCCTACCACACAGCCTCTCTAGTGCCCCACGGGTCATAATAGTGCAAGTACTTCCCGTGTCTACCAAGCACCTCACTCCCCCTTTTATCGTGATGATTGGCAACCAGCAGGACTTACCTCTTATGTTATTGCAGGTCGCTGTGCGGTCGCCGCTCTGAAGACACACTCCTCAGATCTTTGCCTGCTTGCTCCTCCTCGATGCCGCTCGTCTTTGTCCGCTCCACTGCGTGCTCCTTCCTCCTTCGTCTCCGCTGCTCCCTGGTTCCTCTTCTTCCGTCTCCGAGGCCTCTGATATCTCCGTTACCTCTTCCGAAGGCCCGCTTCGTCGAGTCATATTAGGGTTCCTCCTCACCTT